TTTCAGACCATAATTGCAACTTAATCTCTGGCCCAGTGCAATTTGCATGGTAATAATATCCAATATTCAAAATGTAATAATGCTCTTGTGGTCGAGGCCTTGCATTTGCATCCGAACTCCAGCAGCTGCTGCTCCACTGCTGCTCTCTTTGATGCAGATGTTCTCTCTCTCTCTCTCTCTCTCACTCTATTTCTCTGTTTTTTTTTCTCTCTCTCTCTTTCACTCTTATACATGTTCTTAATGTTATAGCTTTCTCTTATATTTTAATTTTCCCTGGAATGATTATTAAATAGTATTATGCCCCCTCTGGCTGTGTACGAGTGTCCGCAGGGTGTTACCTCGTAGTAGATGGATGAGCTCATTGACGGAGGGAGCTGGGCTCAGGCTATTTTAGGCATATTTGCATGGAGAAGCTAACAGATGGAGCTGGGCAATTTAAACTCTGAAATCAATGTGATTGGTCGATGTGTGGATGTAACACAGGAGGTTTTGTGTTGTAGTGAAGGGTTGTGATTGGTTTTGTGGTCAGTTTGTGTGTTTTACTCACACAGGTGATGAATGTATCAATCATATCTTTCCAACACCCTTTCACCCCAGTGTGTGTCCATTCTTTTATAGCTGTGGCGTTAGTGAAACTCCATGTGGTCTACATGAAAACTAGATATTTCAGTAGTGCATAATTGGGGTGTAACGATGCACTCAGCCCACAATTAAATTCGGTTCATGATACTGAGTCCTCGCTTTGGTATTCTCATGATATTTCTCACAAACAACATTTGAATGAAGAAAAGGATTATTATAATCATGTTGTAGCACAACTTACTAACAACACTAGAGGCAAGAGGAAGGAGGAGAGCTGGGCTGAGTTGTTGGTTGCTGCTGATCGTTTGGTGATTATTCAATGTACTTTCATTAGATGGCATAACTGGCAAAATGTCCATTCTCCACGATGTGTGGTCACATTGCCACGATGCAAACTGTCACGGTTTTGAGCTGCGATATTATAATGTCACTATGCATCGTTACACCTTTAGTGGTTAAGTGAACAATCACATTTTAAAAATGGGCAAAAATACATTGTATAGTTAAAAAAAACAGCCATTGTAGCAATCCTGAAGCCTGCCCCTTTTTGTGGACAATGCTACATCATACAGAATCAGAAAAATGATCAATTTTTGGAGACTCAGAAAACATTAGGGATGCTTGATTGGAACTGGTTGAGATTGATTTTCATTTTCATTGGTCGGCAGTCAGCAAATTAATTATTTTATTTTGGCTGATCTGTGTTGCAATTATATGAGGTAAATAAAGTGAATCTTTGTGCTAAATCATCAGTTGCCTCATATTTCAATGTAGCACATTATTTAATTCATGTTATTTGACTAGGCAACTGATTTTTCATTTTGTTACGTCTCCTATGGGTAACAAGCATAAAGAGGAAGCAAGACTGCCTGTTCAGATGCCAGACCAGAACAAAGAGAAATTTCTGGTTAATAACTAATAATGATAAAAACGTAAATCGCAGATTTAGCAGTTTATTCGATGCTCTGCACTTTCATCCAGCTGTCAAAATGAATTTCAACATGCAACTGAAAGAAATCAAAAAGGAAACATAACTTCAAGGAGGCCAAAGGCCCAAAATAACAAAGTACTGTCACTGACCCACGTGTACCTGTAGGCCAGCAAATCGCAACTAACAAAAGCTGGTCTGTCGACTGGCGGGCAGCGAGGGGAGCGGAATCGTGCGAGGCCAAATAAAAAAAAAAAACGCTTCATATTGACTAATAGCAAAGGCCTTTTATAGGCAACAGGAACAGCCCATCACATGCCCATTAGAAGGTACTGGAAATGTGCCAGTGTGTTTCATTTAGCCCACATAGTGTGAGCTTCAGTTAAAAAAAAGGGCTAATAAAATCAGCCACCAGCCAGTTTGACTGTAAGGAAATCGGAACTGGCCATGAAGTTCATGATCGGTGCAGCCCTAGAAACCACATAAGGAGGTTGTTTTGAGGCAAGTGTGTGATGACTTGCAGGCATGCATCTCACTAAACAGAGGCTATAAGCTTCCATGACTTATAGCGTTGTAGCACCAGTGCAAAACCAAAGAAGCAGGCGACTCCAAACACTAAACGTGTATTGATCAACCACATTTGGGATAAGGCAGAAATTGTGCGAAGTTGTGTACAGTTGTGTTAATTCCATTAAAGTAACTGAAGTGGTATCTTAAACAGCATCATTAAAGCGTAAAAAAATGCCTGTAAATTGTGAACTTTAGCCGTGTAAACTGGAGGAAACTTTGTTAGGAAAGGGGAAAAACTGTGTAACTCTGATTTCTTGTTAGCTATGATTATGCTCTGGTAGACTATGATTTAAGCACCAGGTAAACTCCACTTTCAACACCCCACACAGGAATTCACAATCACCTAATCTAACTGCTCCTCACTGCCTGTTTGAAACCTCCAGCTTTTCAGGTGGGTGTGTGTGAACGAGCTGTTGTGCACCTAGCACTTACAGTAAATGCCATGGCCTTACTGACACGTGCAGTGGTTAACAGGAGCGCTGAAGGTGCAGAAAAAAAACCCTTACAGGTCTAAGTTTAGAAACATGTGAGAGATAAAGAAAAAGAAAGAGAGAAAGAGACAGAAAGAAAGAGTCCCATCAGTCAAAAGTACGGTCGCAGCGGCCGACCTGCTCCACCACATCTGACACACGAGCACTGTCAGTGTTCTAATAACAGCAGTTTGGATGTACTTGTTAGTACAGTTACATTCAGACTCCACATTCTCACTTCGATGTACAGATTTAGAAAGTCAGAGAAGAACAAATGCGTGTGCGGTTTGGTTTTTATCGTTTTCACGTCAGCACAGGAAGTGTAGGACATCTCAGTGTGAGGGTATTTTAAAGGGGCATTCCAACTCTTATCAGCATATTGATTATTTTTCACAGTGAGGTGCAGTTATCTCACTGTCTGTGGTTCATAATCATGTCCTAAAAGATGCATATCAGCTTAATTTCTTGTCAGAAATAGTCAGGGACCAGAAGAGAGATCAGCCCCGGGATTTTTTTGTGTTTTAGCTGTGAAATCCCTTCTATTTTGTAGAATCATGTCCCTAATCGACTTGATGCTGAAGACAGGTAGCGTGAACTAACTCAGCAAAAAATCTCATTTACACGACTTTCCCCTTTCCCTAAATGTAGGTGATCAGACAGGACTTTGGTTTAGTTTGGTTTTTTGGACTGAAGCTACATGCTAATATAGCTAGCAGGCAATTAAAGCTTCTATGAGCCTCAGAGCGTTTTATATTTGAGGTAAGTGGAAGATTGTGTAAATCAGATGAACTGTTTCTTTAAAGAAGTGGTGGCCAAACCTTTTGTCTTGCCAGAGAGCAGTGTTTGTGGTGGGCCGAGGGCCAAAAAGACCAAAGAATTGAGTTTTTACTGATAGATTTTATACGTTTATTTATTGTTTTATTACTAAATACTGCAAAATACAATTTTAAAATGAAAGAATAAGAATTCAACAAGTACATTGAATAAATATATGTTCTCTTATTGGATGAACCTTCTAGTGGACAAATTAAATGTCATCATGAGCCAACTTGCCAACTTTGGCAGCCCTGCCTTAAATCTTTAGGGATTGTTCGGCGAGCAGGAGATGGACTCGGCAAGAAATGTCCACAGCTTTGTGCATTTTTTTTTTTTAAAGGAATGTTTTACATGTTAATTCTGATGATTCAGCTGCAGTGCATTTGTAATGAGAGCAAGAGAGAGAGAGAGAGAAAGAGAGAGAGAGAGACTGCAGTACTGGGGCAAGCTCGAGGCTCTAATTAGCAGTGGCCAGAAGCATCTGTTAATCTTTACACTACAATCTCTCTGTAGCTGGCCTAATGAAAGAGAGAACTACAAGTTGTATGAGCTGAAATGTCTCTATGCAGTGTGTGTGTGTGTGTGTGTTTGGCACAATGTGCTGTGTGAATCATTAGATGCTGGATTGCTCTGGCTCCGAAGCCAGCTTGCCAACCCTCCCGCCGCTAGTGTTTTCCCAAGCCCTCGTCACACACGGCGCGGCGTGGAGGGGATTCCTCACCGCGGGGCTCAACACTGTTTGATCCCATCACTCCTGCCGTGCTTAGAGGCGGAATCCTTCACACGCTCATAGACTCCATGTTTCAGAGCTGGTGAAGTCTGTTTAAGATGCAAAGTGTATCATGGACCTGGCCTATAACTCACTCACTCATTCATTCACTCACTCACTCACTCACTCAATCACTCACTCACTGACTCAGGCAGGAATGCAAGTTCAGTAGGTGCTTTTAAATCTGGATTAAAGGCATATTTGTTCAGGCTAGCATGTGGCTCATGTGTGGGGACTCTTAATTCAGCTATAGTTTGTATTTGTGGTGTTACTGAATTTAGACCAAAATATTTTATCTTCCAAAAGTTTTATGCCCTGAAAATGGAGGTCTAGAACGGTTGCTGGCTCTCTGGATCTCACGTCAGCAGGATCACCCAAATGCATGTATGTTCGCAGATGCAAATAGCATGTATATGAAGTAATAAAGGCCAGGAAACTTGCTAAACATGCCCTAAATAGGAACATAGGAACATGAATCCAGGATGTATTTAATGCTGTTGCTGCCGCAATACGACAATGATTGTTTAGCCTCCTGATATCGGAAACTTTCACTCACCATAATGAAAATAAACTTATGGAAATGACCACAGGCAAAAAACCACCAGGGGTGCATCGCATGAATGACACTGTGTGTCCTTGTTTCCTCAAATAATCGTAATTTCCAGAGCTGTCAATGGCCATGACACTGAATTGTCGTCCCTGTTCTCGTCCTCTTTTTCTTTCTGTCTCTTTTTCTGTCTCTCTCTCTCTTTCTCTCTGTGCTCCTTGTCCGGCCTCTCTTGTTCTTTTTTCTCTCTGTGCCATCACACTCTACCTCTCCCTACACCTCTCTCTCTCTCTCTCTTTCTCTCTCTCTCCTCTACAGAACAGATACAGTGTAGGAGATCGTGCTAGGCTGTACAGCGGTTTGCCCGTGAGGCCCAACCCTGACGGGAAAAGACTGCCCTCTTCAGGGGTGAGACCCTCCATCACTCTCTCTTTCTTTCTGTCTTTCTTTCTCTCTCTCTCTCTCTCTCTCTCTCTCTCTCTCTGTCTCTCTCTCCCTTCTTCCCCTTCCTCTCTCTAGCACCCCCTGTAGTCGGTAGGCCCTTTCTCATAGTGGTTTTGCGGTTAGAAAGCTGCCAGGCAGAAGAGTCATGTGATTGACTGACAGCCAGCGCTAGTCCCCACGACCAGCAGCATCCCCGTGGAGTCACACTTTACACCCACGATAGCCTCCTCAAGGCCCAACACACACACTGAGCTTGACTCAGAGGGAGAGCCCGTGAGAATCTGCTAAATACAAACTGCCTCTGAGTGAGTGCTTTTAGCGTACCGTAGCTCAGTGCTTCTCAGGCTTGGTCCTGCAGCACCCCCGTCCTGCACGTTTCCATCTTATCCAACCAATCAGCTAATTAACAAATCCATACCTGAAATATGTAGTTACTATTGCAAGGCTGTCAAAAGTTTCATTTGAATTGACAAATTGTGGCACGTTTGTTTTGTTTTTTTTTCCCCAAAATAGATTCATTTAGAATGTGTTATTCATTTCACATGATATTTATTTTGTACATTTCTGAAAGGTCACATTGTTATGACAGATCTGGTGATTTTTTTGTGTGTGTGTGTTACAGAGCTAACGGTATTGTGATGGCAAAGTTTCCAACCCGCCTAGTTTCCATTAGCTACAACATTATCCAACTCGGTAGCACAGCTTTTTAAACTAACGGCTATATTCATAATAAACTTTACAGTTGTGTACGTTTGAACACCTCCAGTCTAAAGACATGCTCTGTTGATTTTTAAGTGAAAATAAGTAGCACACAGTAACATAATATAGCATATAATAAAAAAAAAACACATTTTGTTTTATTTTTTACAATATGCTTAATTCAGCAGATAAACAGTAACTGTACATTAAAGTGTGCAGCAGTGTGTTCTCTGTAGAAGATGTGTTCACTTTTGTGCACTTAGATATTCAACAGAACATGTCATTGGACCAGGCGCACCCAAACTTTTGCGTGCAACTGTATAGCACCTTTCATACATTAAAATGCAGCTCAAAGTGTTTTACAAGAGAAAGGCAAATAAAAACCAGCATAAATTGAAAATTCAATATTGTGTAGAAACTTTGCACTACAACTTTTAATGAGTTTAATGGGATTTTCATCAATGTTCTGTAAAGTTTGTCCAGCACCATAAAGTAAAATTTGTCCAATCTTGCAATAACTGCTACTAAGGAACACAACTGTGGGCAGAGCATGGTTAGGTCAATTAGCAAACCCTTCTTGCGTTGAACTGGGGATGTTATGGTTCTTTCAGACAGTCTTTTATCAACTCAGCTGGAAAATTGTCACATTGAGCTACAAATCATTTGTCTTTGGATGGTAATCAACATCAGTTTATTGACAGTTTGTCAAGTGAACAAAGCATATATCCTCTGAAATGGACCGGTTACAATGTTCACTGCAAAAAAAGTGATGTATTTTGTGATGTTTACTGATAGGAATGCCTGTTTACAATCCTTTACGAACATTTTAATGTAAAAATTGCATCAGTGGTATGTTTTTCATTGGTAAACTGTTTACCAGCTTTGTCTGCTCTGTTGGTGTAGTATTAGAGAATGTACTGACTGCTAATACGTCACAACTCGTGAAATTGGGGAATGCCAAGTTCACCACTAGTGTTTATGACTTCGTCAGCCGTTTGACTGCAACTTCCGTCAGAACTCAGAAATTCATGAATTTATAAGTTTACCAAGAACATCCCAACACATGATTAGAGAAATTCACACTGTTACTCCAGGACGAGGGTGGAAATCCACTGCTGCAGCTGAAATGGGGTGAATGTGGTAAGGTGCAGGAAGGAGCTCTTATGTCGAAGGCCCTTATTTGCTTGAGCAGAAAAATAATAATTTTTTTTGTTGTCGTGCGGGATTTTACTCGTGTGAGTGTGTCCTGAACTGAACTACAGTTTGCGCTTCGTCACGAACCACAAAACATTCAGTGCTATGAGTCTCGGAAGAGGAAAAAAAAAAAAAAAACATTTAAACTTCAAAGATGTCTCTTTGAAGCTCCTCTACTCTCGCATGTTGCAGCTTTGCTTGAATTTCTGGAGCCATTTTGGCGCAATCTGTACTTCCATGCCTCCATTTTGTATGTGAGCAACAATGCATGCAGACACTCTGTACACCCACCTACACTCACACACACACATAAAAACATACATAGCAAGTGCAAACACACCCTAACACTGTTTTTTTCCTCTAACTGGGGTACAAAAGTCCTTACGAAGCATTTTTCACATCCACACACACACACACAAATGACTCATCACTAGAGTGACATTGTTTGACATTCAGCTATAACAGTTAAAAAGTTTACTTTTTCATTTTCCTTTCCCTTAACGAACAAAATTGCTTAATGGATAATAATAAAAAAAAAACATACTCATTAAAAAAATTATCAAGATTTTAACCCAGACCTTTTTCTCTGCAGTGCATTTATCCACATACCCCATGTATAGGCCTGGAGACAATGGCATAAAGAATTCCTTTTACAAAGTCTCCGTAACTATCGCTGCGTTCTGAATTATCTTTTCATTGCGCTGCTGATGCGAATCCCCAGTGAATCCAACGTTGTGGGTGGGTTTTCTTTCTTTCTTTTTTTTTTTAATTATAAAAGAGACGGTATTGATGTTTCAGAAGGCGCCTTTTTAAATCATTTATCACCGGCAGAGTGCTAACAGAGCATTTCCTACCAGCACACTGCCCACTGCTAAACCTAGCTCTCATACGTTATCTCCAGCCAACATCGTAAGAGCAGTTCTGCAGGACGATTCTACACAAATCATTCCAATGAGCGCAGTGTCAGGAGGAGAGAGAGAGAGAGAGAGAGACAGACAGAAGGATAATTGAATGGTGCTAGTATAGTGTTTTTTGAATAAAATAGATGTTTTTTAAAATAATTTTATGATTTGTTTATCAAGTTGAAGTTTATTTACCCTTAAGGTTATAAGTGTCATAATGTCATTAGTGTTATGACAGAGGGGGTGGGAAAGAGATTGAGATAAATGAAAAAGTTAGATTGTGTATTTTTAATAAAGTAGATGTTGTTTTAAAATATTTTTTTTTATTATTTGTCTGTCAAGGTAAAGTTTTTTTTTGCCCTTTATGTTATGAGTGCAGTGTCATAATGACATGAGTGTCATAAGAGAGAGAGATTAAGATAAAGATAGATTGAAATAAAAAATAGAGAGATGAATTGAAAAGGCTAGCATTGCTGCTTTTTAAACATTTTTTTTTTATTATTTGCCTTCAAGTTAAGGTTTATTTACCCTTAATATTATGAGTGCCATAATGTCATGAGAGAGAGAGAGGGAGGGTAAGAGAGAGATAAATTTAAAGGGCTAGCATTGTATATTTGAATAAAGTAGATGTTTTTTAATATTTCTTGTTATTTTTATAGCAAGTTACAGTTTGTTTACCTTTATTTTTTCATGCCCATCTCTTCATCCCAGCCTCATTCCAGTGAGCGCAGAGAGAAAGAGAGAGAGAGAGAGAGACATAGAGAGAGAGTTGAAAGGTGCTGGCTTCACCTGTTGGAATGAAGTAGATACTTAAAAATTTTTTTTTTAATTATTTTTTTTCCGTGCCATCTCGTGCTCATTACAATGACTGCAATGTCGGGGGGTGGGGGGGCAGTGAGAGACGTAGAGAGAGGACTGCAAGGTGCTAGCAATGTGCATTTGAATAAAATATGTTTTTTTTTATATAATTTTTCTAGCAAGTTAAAGTTCATTTACCCTCAGATGTGTTTTTTTCACCCCGGCCTTGGAGAAACAATCTAAATAAAGAAAGAATGAAAAAAAAGAAACAACTTTTTTTTTCTTCTTCTTCTTCTTCTCAGTTTCCGGATGTGTGCGCATTTCCATATGAATGCTTTTTGAAATTATCTCTCTTTTATCAAACATCTCCTCTTTCCTCCTTTTAAGAAGTCTAACCAAAGCGTCTGCATGGTTTAGCACAGAACAACCACTTAAGCAGCTTTTAAAGGAAATGTGTCGTTTCTTTCTTTCTTTTTTCTTTTTTTTTTTACTTTTTTCTTTCTTTCCGCTCCCACCCGCACCCCCCAGCCCCCTCCGCATTGCTCGTGTCAGGTGTTGTGGTAGAGTGAGGAGGGTTGGGGGGTGGGGGGAGGGGGGTAGTGAGGGTTTAAGGCCTTTGTTCAGTATCTCTATATCACTCCACGCAGGGTTCAGTTAAAAATGGGTTCAGCTGAACATCCGCTGCTCTGCCAAAAAATAACCCACCCCCTCTGCTGCTCACCTTTCTAACACACATACACACAGCCCTGTGCAGAAGCACGCTCTGTGCACATACGAACACACGTACACCGTTACAGCGTACACAACCTTGCAAAACATGCACTCACACATGCTGGGTTTATTTCAGGATTTTATTTCTCAGAAACCTGCTTCTCTCTTTCTCCCCCCTTTTTTCTGGTAAAGGGCACAACTTACGGCTTCATGCTATCACTATAGCAACTCCACAGTGCCCTTATCCTTAAGCGAGAGGTTCGGCACGCACAGCCATGGCTGCCAAACCCGCACCCAAAGAGAACAGGCAATGGGATTACTGCTGCTGGAGAATATAATCTCACGTTTCACTGGCCAGCAGTATACGCAGTAATGTACCATGCTAACATTAGCTCAGTCCTTAATGCAGAAACAATACTAATAATCTGACGTGAAGAGCGGAAGGCAGATTGCTGCTCTAATGCCTGAGGAAATACATTAGAATGGACTGCTATAAAGGGGGTCCTTCAAGGGTTCTTTGGTAAAAGCTTGTGTTAGATATAGAACCATGACTCGAAGAACCATTTCAGTACTTAACCCTAAGAGGCAGTCTGAGAATTTGGCGATGGCCCCATTAGCTTGTTTAAATCTACTGCCAAAGGTGTTACAGCGTTAGAGTGA